ACAATTTGTGTGACTATCTCTCGGGTTCCAACCTAATGCAGAACAATAGTTCTTTAGCAGGGTCAGAAAACGGTTTCAAGAGCTGTGGATGGAAAGCAGAAGGAAAGACCCTCACGTTATAAGACAACAAGTAAATAATAACAGAGTCTTGGTGATACTTATTTACTGTTCTGGAGAACACAGAGAATGAAAGATCCTTTCTGTATGAATATTTTATGATGATACCAAATCACAATGTAGCCCATGTGACATCAGCATTAGCCTGAGGGATATGAATGGGAGTGTTGTTTTTTTCCTAATAACAAAACAAACAAACAAACAAACAAACAAAAACCCCATACCTGGGACACAGACACCTCGCAGAGACATCGCTGCTTTCCCCCAGAGGAGTGACGCACATTCCCTGGATGCTGATTTACTGTAGCACAAAGCTGTATGGGGAAACAAATGCTAGGAACAGCGACATGAATCCTCAGCTAAACCTGTGACAGTTAGGACATCTGGCAGCTGTCCGAGGGCAGCTGGGGTTGGACAGAGGATACAATTAAACAGAACCAGAAAGATCTAAGGATCCTCAACAAGGAAGCTCCGATGTCACTCGTTTCTCTCCAGGGAGCAGGTCAGAGCCCTCGGGTGTGGGTGGGGGGAGAGCAAGGGCCAAGGTAGCGGAGGTTAGAGGCACAAGCAAAGCTAGTTCCCACCAGCTGAGCATGGTGAGAAAGGAAAGTGAGGGCAGCTGGGGAAACTGGGAATTAGAGCTGAGGCAATTCAAATGAGCACCTCTTCTTGGAGGCACCATTCATTATCTCCAGTCATTTCAGCAAAAAGTAAGTAAGGTACTGTCCAACTAGCAACTAGGAGAGCATGTGGAGTCCACTGCTGCTCTGACAGAGGGCTTGGGTAGGAGGCAGCAACACTCCTGATTAAACGAGGCAGATGAGATGGATCAGGGAAGCTGTGAGCTAACTCAGACCCTGTCAGCTCAGCTCCAAGGACAGCTGGGATGGGAACAGCAGGTACCCATTCTCAACACCCACATGGAATAAGCTGAAGGTGCTAACCCTCAGGATACAACTGTTTCAGTAACAGAGGCAGCCATTTCACCCCTTTCACTATCTGTCTCAAAGGGACTGAACACCTTGACTGTGCTTAGCCAGAGGTCCTCTCCAGGAGAGGGCAGATACTTAAACCATATCTGCTTCAAGCTTGACCAGTTCAGGATTTAAACAGAAGACCTCACCTCACAAAGTTGACAAATCTATTACCTTCAGCATCAGTAAAGCCAGTACCATACTAGGCGTGGAAATTAACTGTGCTCCACAAGATAAATACTCTATCCAGGTAGGTACAAAGGACAGCTGGCAAACAAGAATGGCAAGACAAGAGATCAGTCCCCAGCATCTCCGAGCCTGCCCATCCAGCCCCTGTGAAAGTGAGTTGTAACAGCAAGAGCTGTCCTGCAGAGCTCTGAACAGCCAGCAGCACCCTCCTGTGACACGCTCCTGCACCTCCCTGGCAGTTACTCTGCTTGAAATCCAAGAGCTGCACTTGTCCCTGCAGCAGCTCTCATGTGGCATGCATAGCCCTGGGCATCCCCCAAATTCTCTGAAGGTGTATCCCCTCTACCTGATGTGGCCAAGCTTCTGTTGGGCACTCCACACTTCTGTCCTGAGTTTGTCTAAACTGTAAGATCATGCTTTGTGGCTGTTCAGCAGACCTAGCACCTGAGAAAGAGGGGACAATCACTTTCAAGGATTACACAGAGGTAGCCTCTGATCCACCACACCACCATTAATCCCTGCAGAAAAATCATGTCCGGATGAGGCCAGAACAACTGAGAAAAAGTAGAGAGCTGGACATATAACATGCCACCACTGGTGCACATTTCATGTTTCCAGCACCAAAGGTAATGCTCAGTTTCTTTATGTGCTGCTGGGTTCAGATCACAATGGTACCCTACCTGACATCATCTGTAACCTCTTCTTCATGCTAGCCCTCTTTGGCAGGAATTTAAGTTTTTCTACAGGTAGAATAGCAGTGTTTTGCCCACAGAGATCATCTTACTCTACAGAGAAGTTGAGAGCATGCTTCCACCTCCACTTAGGAAGCAGATTAGAATCCCTGGTTGTCCAAGTATCCTCTTGCAGCAGGAGGTTTCCAGAAGAATGGTAACATGCTGCTTGGTGCAAAAAATAGAGGCTAGTTATTAGCCCTACTCTCATTTCAACCTTTACCCCCCCAGCATCATCCATTACCTATTCTTCTCCCATCAAATCTTCTCTGATTCTCCCTTTTGCAAAGGTCACCCACTTCTGCAACAACTAAAAAAATTATTGATTTCATTATGGCTGCAGTAGGACCTGTTATATCAGAATACATATAAACGCTTATCTTTTCCCCCACTTACACATATTTTGAAGATATCTTTCCAACTGCCCTCCATCATTCAACATTGGAACAGGAAGGCCTCTTCTTGCTGTTTCGGCAAGCCTATGAGGCAGGAAAGGTGCCTGCAGAGTGCCTTGCACACTGGCTGTCTTGATCAAACCCTTCTAGCGGTACTACAATATTTAATAACAATACATCCTCTGTTGCAGGCAGCAACAGCATTTTTCAATCTGGCTACTCTTCACAGTAAACTCTTCATATATCAATTTCAACACTCAGTTGTCTTCCACAGGTCTGAGCAGCAAAGCTTGCCCATTCTAGCAGTGCCTGCCATGGGCTGTCAAACCATCCAGTGCCAGATTTTGGATGGAAGAGGTGTGACTATAAAGCAGCCCACTTTGCAGTGTTGACTTTGAGTTCTCTTAATTTAATCAATTGCAGACATTTGGTTCAATAGTTCTTCCTCTTGTTGACCTGTGCAGTAAAGCAACTTGACCCCCCTCACACACCAAGATAAAGGCCATGGCTCCACCTTCTGCACCTGATTTTCCATCTCTCTATCACCAGGCAAAACTTTACAGAACTATATCCACCCACGCCTCTCCTAAGGCAAAGGGTGGATTCAGAGACTGCAGGCAAGCCCTATGCATGTTCTCCTCCCACAGCTCTCCCAGAGCACAGCATGGAGTCACAGCTTGCCAGCCCTGTGTATTCTGCTTTACTTCTCCTCCAGTGCTGCTTGTTCAGCAGTGTTTCCTGGTGTCATTTTCCTGAACAGAGATCCTCAGCTATAACGAACATTATAGTGCTTCCCACCAGGGGCTGCTTCTGCTAGACCACTGGGTCAGCAATAGGTTGTCCTGTGCAGAATCAAGAGTTCAGACCATGCGAGGAGCAGAACACACCACCACTTGCTGACTTTATGCTGTAGTTGCTCCAACTCCTTCCTCACACACTCATCATTTTGTCACAATAGTGTTTCACTACTTAAAGAAAGTGAGGAAAGTTATGTTTTCTTCCAGTGTCTCTCTTGCACCAGCCCTGAATCTACAAAGTTCTTAGCACTGACATCTCATTTATTTCTTGTGGATTGTTGGGATACAAATGAGATGCACAGTCTCCATACTGCTGGTGAAGCACTCGCTGTTGCTAGTTATGGCATTCACCCTCCAAATCCTCTGTCCTCCTTGGCAAGACCTCCAAGCTGCTCTAAGTGCTGTTCTGCAATCACTGAGCATCCTCTGTAACAGCAAACAGGAAAGGCAGGAGGTGTTAAGGTCCCTGCCTAGCTCTTCAGTTGCTGGGACAGAAGGGATAAGAATAGGATCAAGGAATACTCAGTGAGATGGTTTCAAGGTTCAGTTCCATACCTATCCTTGACAGAGTCTCCTCTGCCACTATGCTGTATGCCCAGCAGACCACAGAAACCCTGTCTTCCTGGACCACTACATTCAGACAGAAAAACAGGCAAGATGCACATTAAGAACTGAAATATTTGAACTAACCACCCTCAAAGGCAACTTGGCCAGCTAACTAAATATTGTGCATCACAAGGGTTTCAGCAAAGGACTCCATGTGAGGATGCCTGACTTTAGACCAAATTTAGTCATGGCCCTCCAGGAAACCACTTTGTTTTCCACTGTCCATTTTCTCTCCTGGGAAGCAAAGGTGCTTCTCAGGTTTACAGAGTACTAAAGAAAAGACAAAGGAAGAAATTAAAAATCCAAAAGCCCTTTCTGCCTTGTATCCAACACTCTGTGCTCACTTGTTTAGCATGGAGATGGTGCTACATTGTGCCAGGCTACACTCACAGCCTGTTGTTTCTTCAACAAGACTTCAGCAACCTAGACAAGAAGTGATCTGTGTAAGAGGCTCCTATAACCATCAGCACTTCATCTGCAGTGCCTTTATCTTCACTATCTTCCAGCCTATTGATCTGTTCCTGCTGAAGCTCTTTCTCCTGCTTTAGTCAATACACAACTGAGCAATTCAGTGATCTGAATGGATGGTCAAAACCAGATTTTGTATGGGAATATCTTAGTCCAGGAAAGGACACAATAGCCTGGTTCAACTTCGGAAGCTGGAAATACAAGGAGACCTGGAGAACAAACCTTAATTCTAAAGAATACTGATGGGATTCTTCTGCCCTCCTCCCATAGAGGGCACAGATACAAGAAAGAACTCTTGGGGTTCTAGAAGATATAAGGGAACTCCACAAATAAATAAGTCTGCATATGTGAACTAGTTCTTTCCCCAAGAATTTACAGATCTGGCGTCCTGACACTTCATAAAACTTGGAACTAATGACTGGAGAACGTTGCACAAGAGCTATGATGATTATGCTAAACTGTTACAAAGATTAGGGTAAGATCCAAATCTGAGGCTTGGTCTCCAGTGTGCAAATGTGTTGGTAGGGAACAGGGAAGCGGCAAAGAACACATACTTTCAGATGGGGAAGGAGAAAGGATTATCAGCACAGAGGTCTTGCCCAGTGCTGTAGCGAGTTGCGTCCACCCACACAGGAAGGTGGGGCTTTCAGCGTATGATGAAACAAAAATACGCACAATACCAAGCGCGACGGGCACACGGTGCAACTAGAGGCCGGGCGGTCAGCCTGCAAACCCGCTGCAGGCCCGGGGCAGCGGGCGTTACCGGGGGCTGAGGAGGAAGGGGCCCATCATCGGTAAAACCCCGCCGCAGCCTGGGGCGCTCGCCTCGGGGTACCGACATCCCGCCTTCCCTGCTCGAACGGCACCGCTGGCCTGCCGTGCAGCCGAACCCCCCCGGCCCCCCCGCCGCCACACCGGGCCGCGAGCGGGGCCCGCCGGGACACCGAGCGCGCCTACAACCCCCAGGGTGCCTTGCGCGGCGGGGCCGTCTCCTAGGAGACGCGGCCCTCTGGGGAAGCGGGGTGTGTGTCCCGTGGTGCCCCGCGCGGCGGGCATGGAGGGGCGCGTGGCGGAGCGGCTCCGCGGCGCCCTGGGCCCCTTCGGCTTCGAGGTGCACGCCTTCAAGGTACTGACGTCACCGCCGTGACGTTGCTCCGCCGTGACGGCCATCGGGAGTAGCCGTCGCTATTTCCCGCGGGGCCGGGGAGGGGGGAGAGGCGGGCTCCGGGGCGGCCGCCCCCCTCGGCTGCTGGCGAGGGAGCAGGGGGGCGGGCGGGAGAGGGCTGCCGCCGCCGGCCCTGCCGCCCGGTAACGGAGGGGAAGGTCCTTGCCGTGCCCGGGCACCGGCAGAACCAGGGGTTTGCTCAGGGCTTTGATTTTGGTCCCACTTTGATACGATCAGGAGAGTCAAGTATAAGATATATCTGGACCAGTAGAGAGTCAAGTTCTCTAAGCAAGCTTAACCTTTATATATAGAAACGCGTATATATTAAAGTGCAGGCTACCTCATCCGTTTGGAAGTGGTCTGCTGAACACTCGGTGGACAAGAGTCTCTCCCACTGAGTATACGCTCAGTTTCCACCAAAAGTTGGGGGGTTCTTTGCCCACCCCAGGGGCAATCTGCAGTAAATCAATCTGCAATAAATCAATCCTTAATATCAAATATAAATCTACAATCAAATACAAATCAATCTACAATAAACACGACCTTCCCTACCTTGGGGTATGTTGTATTTGTCACCTGAAATATTTGTATTTCCTGCTATATACTTGATCAGACAGAAACTAAAAGGGAATGAGATGGTGAGAAGTGAAATTTCCAGAATTTGGAGAAGAATTTAACGCTGCTTTCCCAAAACACAGCAGCAGAATTAAGGGCAGAACCCAGATCAAAAAGACTATAGCTACTATAGTGCTGTATCTCTTTACAGATTAAATTCTCATACAGCTGCCGTGGTACACTGACTGATGTAAACTGGAAAATCAGCAAACCTTAGATTCACATCTCTCCAATTACTTCTAACACCTCAAGTCAGTGTCTTAAACAAGAGCCACAAAACTGATTAAACTTCAGGATGGATATAAGAATGCCATCTATCTAGTGAACTTAGTTGTCATTCTGTATTTCCATATGGGGAGGTCTGGCTGCCATTGTCACCTGTAAAATCACTTTCAGACTCATTTCACTGATATTTAGAGGTGACCAGTATATTGTATTTTCAGACTAAATATTAGAGCTACATTACTTGACATCTTTCTGAATTTTAGACCTGGTCTTTATGGCATTCCTGGAGAGGGGGATTGTCATACACTATAAAAAGACTGATGTTATTGTGTAGTACGTTAGTGAAGTTCAGGGGGATTCAGCCATTTCCTCCCTTCTGCTTGGCTATTGCTGGTCAGAGCTGTATCTCCCCACTCCTGTCTTCCTGCTGCCCTGGCTTGATCCCTTATTTCTGGACTGCATTTCAACACATCCAGCCCTGGAAACAAATACCAAAATGTGGCAGTGTCACAATCCACACACTACAGCTGGTGGTGCTGGGGGATTTTTAGAACTGCTTGGAGCTTCACATCCTTCATTTCCACACATAAATATTTCCTGCTGAAGAAATAAACCAGACAACTTGTCACATGAGCAAAACAGTTTCTCTCCTGACTAAGATGAAGGAAAAAAAAACCTGTAAAAACTTTATCTAAACCAAAACATCTGATTTGCATTGGCAAGAATGGTAGCTCCTACTTCCTTCTACTGAGCAGAGTTGGATAAAGGGCAGTCTTAAGCTGAATGCAGTGAGTGATTCTTATCTCTCACAGCTCACAGTACAGCTTCCAGAAACTGTAAATCTCAGTATGCAAAACAACTTGGTTTGAATGGAAGGCACTAGGCAGGCTGCAATTCTGGGTTGCAAATTAAGGTGGCTACAGCTTCTTTCCACTTCTTTAAATTCCTGCATGCCCACTAGCAAAACAGTGGTGTCCCTGTTTTAATGGAGATTTGTTTTTCTTTGCTAAAGGTTGGATGGTACAATGCTATTCTCCAGCCAGCCTTTCATCTCCCCTACCCAGATGACACACTGGCCTTTGTTGTCCTCAGCACACCTTCAATGTTTGACAAAGCCCTTAAACCTTTTGTGAACAAGGAACGGTTCAAAATAATCAGGGATCCTGTGGATCAGTGTGTTTCTCATCATTTATTACGTGTGAAGGAGGTAAGAACCTGAAATACCGATTCCTTTTACTATTGTGGCATATAACCAGATGGGTTGAGCAGTAAACAAAGCCTTCCAGGTTCCTGCCCTTGCTCTTCAGAAGTGTAAAGCTTTATTCATGACGGTAAGAGCATCAACAGGCTGTTGACCTGCTTTACCTGCATATTCTGTCTCTTTGCCATTACAGCCTGTAGCTATGTAGAGTGCTTTAACTCATAGTCTGAAAACCCAAGGCCACAAGCCTTCTGATAGATTTTGGTGGCAGGATGTGGAAATCTGCAGGCTTCACGTGTGCATCCAGCACTTCTGTGGTGGCAAATCTTCCATGAGCCTGGGCTGTTGTTTTTTAATTTTCTCAGAAATTCCCTGACCAGAAGGTGGATGTCATCTTTGATTATGAGATTCTGCCTAGCCGAAAGCCCAAGTTCTTGGCACAGACAGCTGCCCATGTTGCTGGGGCTGCATATTACTACCAGAGGAAGGATGTGAAGCTTGATCCTTGGGGGAAAAAGGTGAGGCAAAAACACAGTCTGGGAAGAACCACTAAAGTGCAATCACTGAATCATACAACCGTTACTTACTAGTTCTTCCTGCAAGAAAATACGAAGTCCAGATCACATATTGATGCAGAAAGTGTTTCAGATGGGAATTGGGAGCTTCCAAGATTCTTTGGGGTGATAGGAAGATGCATACATGGGGGAAAATATATTGATCTATTAAACCGATTTAGAATAAATTTCTGTGTGACAGAAGACCTGTTGCTTGGAGCATTATAAATAGAAAAAAAAATGCATTGCACTGCGGTTAATTTATGTGTTAGATTTTCAAAAAGGGACCTCTCCCCACATTACAGGGTGGTGTCTGTGGGCACAAGAAAATGGGAATGAAATGCAATGCTTTGAGCCACATGCTCAGGAAGGAGCTTTCCTTTCTTCACTGTATAGCACTCCAGCAGAGGGCTGGGAGTGTGAGAAGTTGCATCAAAGCTTGATGCTTTGAACTCTAACCATCAGTAGAGTAAAATGAGACATCCTAGATCCTTTTTTTTATTTCCAGAAGATCTATGGCGTATGTATCCATCCCAAGTATGGCGGTTGGTTTGCAATCCGGGGTCTCCTCCTGTTCCCAGATATTCAGGTACTGTTCCTGGAACAGACTGCCCCTGTTGACTGTGTGAGCACAGAGGAGAAAAGAATTGAGTTGCTGGAGCAATTCAATTTCCACTGGCAGGACGGCCGTTACAGGGACATAATTGAAGTGAAGGAAAGGTATTCTGAGGAGCAAAAAGCCTACTTTGCCACTCCTCCAGCGGAGAGATTCAGACTGCTAGGGCTGACACAAGCCCAGAGAAGCACATTTCACTGAGTAACATGGCTGTGTGAAGGGCCAGAGGGCAAGCAAAGTGTAACTCATCAGCACCACCTTTTCCATGTCACTGAAGGAGGACGGCATGCTGATACAGAGGTGGCAAATCCAAGCAGCGTGTGCAGCATCTCAATCCAAACATCAGCTCCTCAGTAAGAGGGAGCACTGCATCATGGCACTCCTGGTCTGGAGGAAGCGGGGAGCCGCCTGTTCTGTGCTGTTGCTGATTTGGTTTGTCTTTTGGGGAGTCTGGCAAGATGCCGATTTGCCTTTGGTTGGGAAGAGGTCAGATACCCTGGCAACTGGAAAACCTGTGCTGCTCGTTAGAGAAGTAATTTTTTGTTCTCAAGAATTTCCGTTCCAAATGTTTTGGGTTCATTCTCTGTAAGAGTAAAAAAAGGTTAATTTTCAGTCATTGTACTGTGAAATATTTTTTTTTCATATAAACTCAGGGCAGATACTTCTTTAGATGTATCCAGCATTTTATTACCCTGTGTCATAACTCTCCCTAGGGAATAAGTGTTCAGTCTTTTCAGTCTTTCCTTCCTCAGAAAGAAAATTTGCCCTGTATTCCTTCACTTGCAGTGAAGCTGGCTTAACTTAATTAATAAATCTTGTAATGTCTCCTTTCCTTAACATCTGAAAGAAAATTCTCCAGAGATTGTTTCACTGTGTAGTGTTGTCCTCTACATGGAGCAGGAGCCAAGAAAAGAGAGCCAACAGCAGCCATCTCCTTCAGGGTAGTTACAAAAGGGAAAGGGACAGTACAGAGGTCACAGCTCAAGTTTGCTGTTTCCTCTTCACCCAGGGTCAGCTTCTCAAAACAAGGTGACGTCTTTAGGTCAATTTTAAGCATTTATCCATTGTATAGAGCAGCTGACTAAAATCTTCAGAAAGATGCTGCATAAATCACTGTGAGTGGAGTATTTACTCATATTAAAGATAACTGACTGAAAAAGACAATTCTTACGACCTTTTTCTAAGGTAGGTGAGGTTTGTATTTAAAATATTTTTCAGTGCTGTGCCCGCACACGCCACACACACCACAGTTTTACTACCATAGTTTTCTATTGTACTTTCTCTATGGAGGAGATTGTAAGCCTGCATGCACGTAAAAAACATCGCGTGAAGCCTTGTCACACACACAGACAGACAAAAAAAAGAGATATTGACATTCATGTTACTTATATTGCCAGTTTAGACAGAAACAGAACATTCTTTTACATTACTTTGTCCCGTTAGATTAGTTCAGAGGGTATAGTGGCACTGGGCATCAGGAATTAATTTATCTTAGAGCACTTTGAGGCTCAGATCTCATTAAAATAATACATTATATTAAGATAATAGTTTGTAGGAGTTTTGTTACTTGACTGCAGTGCAATGCTGCAACTCACTAAGCACTTTTTCCCTTTCCACGATATCAACATGATGATGCAAAACTACTCACTTTGCAGAACTGAGCCCTGTTTATTCTATGTTGTGATTCTTCATACCTTTTGAAGACTCAAACACTAAGGTTGCCTTCACAATAAGTCACTGCTTGATACAGTTTTTCATTGTCTATATACTAAGCATAATCAAAATTTAGCATAACAAATTTGTTTTCCTGTAAACAGAGTAGTGAGCATGTGATCACTGGGTTTGTTCAGTGTATTTGCTGTTACAAAAGAGTCTTTGTTGGTTTCCAATGCTTTGTTCATCACATCTGACTAAGGCAGATACCTGACATACTGTGTGGTAGCAGTTTTGTGATTTTTAATTTAAGCAAAATAATTACATTTGTTTAAATTCTCTTCTTTTGTTATAGAATTACTTCTGGTTGAAATGTTGGTTGACCTTCTGGAACTTTCCAGCTGAACTGTAATTTAACAGGGACTTGAGTTAATTGTTCATATTAGTAACGTAAAAAATACTGATTCTCTTGGAAGGATAAATACAGAATGGAATCAGATTTCACTTTTTACATTACAATTTAAAGTAAAATATTTTGCTATTTTGGGGTTGATTTCTTACAAATATTTAATATTTTTGTTTAGTTCATTTATTGAACAAATTACCATAGACATTTCATTTCAATTTTTGTAATTTATTTCTCTTCACATGGTATTTTGGTTAATAAAATATACAGTGTTGTAAGTAACCCCCAGTACTGAATATTTTTATTTAAACAATGCAATGATTAACTTGTGGAGAGCTAAAGATGTCAAAGTGAGAATTGATCACTGTGTTTATAACATACTGAAAATAGTGAGCTACCTAAGACACACAAAATCCAGTATCAGAAAACAAAAGAAAAAATTAGTTATCTTAGTAGAAGTTATTAAACTATTATGGTGGGCCCATCTGGAATATAAAAAAAATAAAACATACAGCACATTATAAATAAGCCTAATAAACATTTATCTGTCCCAGGTCATTTCAGCAAGATCATTTAACAGGAAGTACATGACAATGCACTTTCATTTTTAACTCTGTTCTTAGAGTAACAAAAGTTCAAGGTGCCCAGTGATATGTAACTAATATTTGAACGATTTTTCCTCAGCAAGTTAAAAGTAATACCTGCAAGTACTGGAATTCTTATTTGTTAAAACATATGAGTTAATACCGAGTCATAGTAAGGGCAAATCTGTGTTCTTTGTGCTTCTGGCAATACAGCTATGTCAGGCAGAACGGAGTACAAATATTTAATAACGTATCTATTCCTACTACAGTAATTTCAGAGTGAATTGGATTGGTTCTTATTGGCTTTCTCTTAGCCAAGTCACTGAGATCCACAGCTGCAGCTAGTAATTTTATTTTCTTGCTGGTTGGACTATAATGGTCTTTGTCTTATAAAACTGAAGTTTGAAAACCTGTTTGACTTATCTCATCTCTTGGGACAAGACTAGACATGGTGAGGAACAGATCCTGCGGCATTGTGAAGACATTCTTATTTTCGGCACTTGCAAATGTCAAAAAAGTAATTGCAAATATTTGGATAGATTTACTAGTTCAAGTATCACATTATGCATTTTTAGACAGGTAAGTTTTTCTCTAAACCCTAATCCTTAAACATTTATTAAACTATCTTTTTTCTTCAATATAACCACAAGGGTAAGTATTCAAGAGCTGAACAGAAATAAAAATATTAAAAGCTACTTGAATTTTAATTCAGTTTTAGCAACAAAATATTTGGTATTTCAAGCTAATTAAAGATTCTATTTTTAGAAAATTAATCTGGAGAATTAACGAATCTGTAGTGTTTTCATGCACATAACATATATTATTCATCCTCTCCTTCAGTTAAAATTTCCTTTTTTTTGACTGTATTAACCTTAAAATAACTGAGATTTTTATTAAGATTAAAGATGTGACAGAAAATACCAATTAAATGCAAAATACAATCTAACCTGGTGACAAGCAGCCATCAGGATTATTGCTCAGAAAGGGAAAAAACACTTGAGAAAACACAGTTGTGGGTTTGGTTATTTTTTTTTGTACCAGTTAAATCAGTTACATCTCAGTGGTGCAAGAATAAGCACTAAAGTTTCTTCAGGGTATGAAGTAGATATACTGCTTTATTTCCTTTCTCCTGTAAAAAGAATGACTTGTAACAACAATCCTGTTCTCCTCTAAGAGATGCAAGACTAAAGATGGGTCAGTGCTGGTGTGTCAGACAAAAAGAGCCAACCTTATGAGAGCAGTGCACTCTTCTGGTTTTGCTGGGGTTTTTTAAGCCTGGTTTTTGGTTTTGGTTTTTTTTAGGGCAAGATTGCCCTCCGCTGGGTCAGAAGCATGATTTTACTCATACAGTATACATGGTCTTTTATTAATTTGTGACCAAAATAATTGGTGGTGTAACTACTATTTAACAGGGGTTAAATTACTAAAAATGTACAGGGACTTGAATTTAAGTAGGAACAAAAAAAAAAAATCTGAGTAAAGATTTCCATATTTCTAAAAACAAGAAGTGGAAGCTACTGATCAGTGCCACTGGGGTTATCAGCACTCTTTGTTCAGCCCGGTGCAAAAAGTACATTTAAAAAGTTAGCTTTGAATACTGATTTAAGCAGCAACAGTTCCAAAGTTCTTCCTCCAAGATGAAGTGGGTTTTGCCATTTACTGCGGTGAAGAGCCAGTTGTATCTCTGCAGCCTTGACTTTCACAAATTCACGTACCAAATGGACAAATGTATTCTTCATGAGACTTTTTTGCTGTTAGGTTGGCTTCCTGTCATATCACATATCCTGTGACAGATCATCCATCACATTTGCTTCTGAAAGCGAACAGAGCACTTCCCTTCTAGGTTTTCAAGGAGGAAACAGAAAGAACTAAAGAACACAAATGTGCTTTTCTTTTCTCTCTGCAACTGAAAAAAACAGATGTTCACATTCCTTAGAAAAAAACAGTACTTTAGATGAAAAAATGGGGTGGCATATTTTTTTTCTAATAACTGAAATACAATAATGGAAAATGTGGTGGGAAACAAAAAAATATTTTGTCATAGAATGAGCAGTAAGATATTTTAGTGGAATGTTTAAAATCTCTCCAATAATATACAACAATCTGCAAAATGTAATTATATACATATAAAAGTATTCGAAATAGCTCCTTCCTGGAAAAAATAAATTACATAACTATCATTCATTAATATTACATCTATAATATATTTCTTATGTTATTTTTGTTGATGTTTGTACATAATTCAGTGAGCAAACAATTTTATTTTTAATAACAGCATATGTTTTATTTTCCCAAAACACTTCCTAAAGGACATTTTGAAAGAGAATTTGATTTTTTTCTGTCTTCAGTGTTTCTGGAAATCAAACACCTTTACACTAAGTTGCTCTGTTTTGTTTTTTCTCTCATGTAAAATAAAGCATGGGATAGAATAATTCCTGTAAGTAAATTAAATACAGGAATGGGTGTGGGGGGATTTTCTGTGTTGAAAAATACCCTACAGAATCTGAAATTTATGCAAAATCATTAGTTTTTCTATGAATGCATAAAGCCTCTTACTAATTTTAAAGGAATTATCTAGTTTTAGGTTTTAATTTCATACCATAACCCTTTTCCCAGTATTGTTCTGATCAGTCTTCCTGAAACATTCATTGTTGCTTCAGTCTTTTTTTAACAGTCTCTTCTTCCAAACTATAAAAACCTACAGCAATAAAAAAGAAATTCACCTTATTTTTGCGAAAAATTAATGTGATGAAATACATTAATTTTAAATTACATTAAATTTTATTAAGTGTAGATTAAAGACTTTTTTCTCTCCTGACAAAGGATATTAATCTCATTTGTCAGTGCAGATACGTAAAAAATATGTTGCTGCAGAATATGGAACATAAACCTATTGGGCCCACAGTTTCAGAGGACAGTTCAACCTTAATGACCACATATATTCGTGTATCTATCATCAAATGGTATCTTGCACAGGAACAACCTAGATTCAGACACGTTTCCCATAATATGTACAAAGTTTCAGGTGAAACAGCCAAGTTTCACATTAAAGTCCAAAGCTATCATCACTAGGTGTGGTGAGAAGAGCTTACCGCAGGCACATCTCCTGCTCGGGAACACTGCAAACATCTCACAGCGTGATGGCAGCCTGTTCCTCTGCAGTTGTCTAAGTGTGTGCAGCACAGATCAGTGGACGATGCAGAGTCGTCTGATTTGCAGAGGCTTTGGCCTATAAATCCATTCTGTAAAATCATACTCCTATATTCTGTGAGGTGCTTAAGTTACACCAGTGTTACAGGTGAAGACGCTGACTGGTGACCCAATACAAACACAGACATGTGGACAGCCAAAGTAAAGTCAGCTCTGACTACATTAAAGGCAAATTCATGTTTTTTCTCTTCTAGTATTAAAAGTAGAAGCCAATATATTAATGATCAAAAAGATACCTGCTGTTTCTTTTATTTCCTAGTTCAGTGTTCTTTTTGTATGTACCATTAATTTGTATCAAAAAAAAGGCAGTGACAGCTTTAGCACACTTTCTGAATTGATGTCCAAGTGTGCTGCGTTCTCACTAGTACATGCTGCACAGAGCTAACTACCCTGTGGCTTCGTGCCACTCCCCTGCGTTTATTTCACCCTTTGCAAAGTAGAACCTTGACATTTCTGTTTTAAGTCTTCTATGCTTTATCTGTCTAGCAAGATATTTCAGAATATATATTTACACAGACTGTCATTTAATACTGAACATCAGACCCACTGAAAATTTCAGAGGATATACATCATATTTTTCAACCTATTAATATGATAAACACCATTATTTTAACATAATCTTTACTTGACTGTTGCTTTGATTACTAAAAAAAACAGACATGGGGCTTTTGCAAACATACTTTCCTAACCAAAGTGCATCATTTTGCAATACCTGCAAGATGTAAACTGCTTGCTTTTGGTCTTTGAACTGTATTGATTTGTTGGACTACCCAATAACCTATTTGTCAAAGGCCTGATAAAAAGGCTGGAGCACTTGTTAAGAAAATAGTACTTTTTAAACTTAGTAACTTCTTAGCATATTTTTCAAAACCTGTGAGAAACTTGTTTTGTAACAAAATGCTAATTCTTTAAACATTACTAAGTATTTTTTTCTTATAAATATCTAAAAATAAATATACAAATGTTAATTTTGAAATAGCATACTCCTAAAAAACGTATAAAATCTACTAGAAGTTAGGTTATGTATGTCAAATATTGAAAGCCACATTCTATGTATTCTATGATAAACACCTAATATATAGAATTTAAGTCCGATGCACTATTTTGTATTACACATACCAAAAAAATCCTCTTGGTCTTATACAAATGCTATTATCTGTAAACTTAATTACAGATACCTATCACAAAAATAATGGAGTAGATATTAATTTTAGATAGTACATGAAGAACACAATGCATATTTATTGTGTTTGCGTGGCAGGGTTATGGTACCGGGGGAGCTACAGGGGCAGCTTCTGTGAGGAGCTGCTGGAAGCTTCCCCCATGTCTGATGGAGCCAACACCAGCCGGCTCCGAGACAGACCCGCTGCTGGCCAAGGCCGAGCCCATCAGCGATGGCGGTAGCGCCTCTGGGGTGATGTATTAAAGAAGGGGGAGAAGTTGCTGCATGACAGCAACTGCAGCTGGAGAGAGGAGTGAGAATGTGAGAGCAACAGCTCTGCAGACAGCAAGGTCAGTGAAGGAGGAGGGCGAGATTCCCCTGCAGCCCGTGGTGAAGCCCATGGTGGGGCAGGCTGTGCCCGGCAGCCCGGGGAGGTCCGTGGTGGAGCAGATCTCCACCGGCAGCCCAGGGAGGACCCCACCCCAGAGCGTGGATGCTCAAAGGAGGCTGTGACCCCGTGGGAAGCCTGTGCAGGACCTGTGGGCCCACGGAGAGAGGAGCCCACGCGGGAGCAGGTTTGCTGGCAGGACTTGTGACCCCGTGGGGGACCCTTGCTGGAGCAGTCTGTTCCTGGAGGACTGCACCCCGTGGGAGGGATCCACACCCGAGCAATTTGTGAAGAACTGCAGCCTCTGAGAAGGACCCACATTGGAGAAGTTTGTGGAGGACTGTCTCCTGTGGGAGGGACCCCATGCTGGAGCAGGGTAAGAGTGCTGCTGAGGCAGGAGGAGGTAGAGAACTCAGGAGTAAAGTTAAGCCTGGGCATAAAGGATAGGTAGGGGGAAGGTGTCTTAAGGTTTAGGTTTTATTTCTCACTATCCTACTCTGATTTTATTGGTAATAAATTAAGTGAATTTCCCCAAGTCGATTTGGTTTTGCCCATGATGGTAACTGTTAAGTGATCTCCCTGTCCTTATCCTGACACACAAGTCTCTTGATATATTTTGTCTCCCCTCCCCAGTTGAGGACAGGAGTGACAGAGTGGCTTTGGTGGGCACCCAACATCCAGCCAGGGCTAGCCCACCACAGTATAGATTAATTTCTTTACACTTTTTCTCATTCTTCAGTAAGATCAGACAAATCAGTACCTAAAGCCATTGTCTGTAAAACTGCAGCAGACAGGACCTTTGCTATTGATTTTGAGGGCAAGATCACACCACCTGAGAGGTGATGCCAGGGCTACTTCACCACAACTGCTAAAGTTCTGTTTCAAAGACTGACAGTAGTTTGCTTTTGTTAGATACTGTTGCATACAATTTTGAAATAATATTTAATTATGTACCATTTTAAGTTTTATAGATCTTGCCAAAGAGATAAAATCCTATCTATATTTATATAATTACATCTACTATAGCTGCTTAACAGCGTAGGCACATGGTACTGTGTAGTTCAGCCCTCAAATCAATACAAATATATTAAAATACAGCCAATTTCATTATCATGTTGGCAGTAGATGACTGCTAGCTTGTTTATTGGAACTCTGATTTTGAGAGGAATGCAGTATCATAAATTTCTGTAAAAATCTGATAAAGATACATACAGGTATTTAAACTGATCCAGATAATTTTTTCAGAGATTATTAAGACTGAGACTTTGTATGCTTGTAAAATTTCTTTTGCAAAGCAGCAAGCCAGATATATAAACCCCCAGTAATTGTAGCAATCAGCTACAAATAACGAGAAATAGAAGAGACACAGAAAGATGTATTTCAGTTTCCCTTTCTTTGACCCAAGATACTCTAAAGAAATTAATGAATACAAGGTTATTTTTATATTACTATAAAAAACTAAGAAAAAAGTTTTTTCTAGATTGCACACAAACTAGAAAAAAAGATGTGCAATCACTCACATGCTAAAAAAAAAAAAAAAGCAAACATCACATTCAAGATTCTGACCTTTCCAAATAACATCTGCTGTATGCATCTTCAAGGAAAATCCTGCTAAGCAATACATGATACTACAACAGCTATCAGGCTTGTCACCGGAACTCAGAACTGCTGATGTGTTTTTTACCTCACTGGGAAATATGGCATCCATTGATCCTGACAGCAAAACCAGTTCATAACTGTAGTGAAAATACAATATGCATCTTGGTACATGAAAAAACATTTCTCAGTAAATGGGGATTATGGTTATTTGAATGTCATAAAAATTACACCAGTCTAAGATGTCACAATAGTAGGAGTGAGGTGTAAGTCCCAGAACACTTAATGGAAATTCCATGCTATATCTGAATCAGTAATAAGTTTAAGCAAATAAAGAAACCCAGACTCTTCTTGAAGAGGTTTTGTGTGTTATACTCTCAGAAACATTAAAATGACAGTGTGACAAGCATTCCCACGAGTGCTCGTATAGCTGAAGAATAAAAAAAAAGTGTTTAATTGCATTAATTCCCACAGTCAACCATTTGGTGCAAACATATAATAACAGTTCCTAACCCACAGGTATTTTGTTTCTTGGCTGTTTTGAATTTCCACATTGTCATCGTTCACCGGTGACTATGATGTTTAAATACATACTGCTAATAGTGTCTCAGCATTACCAACCCCCAAATAGATAGCAGCAGGCCAATTATAACCAAATTTTTTTTCGCAGTCACAGATTTTTTTTCTGAATTTGTAACTCCTTAAGTAGCGATCAAGATTAACCACTTTTCAAAATAGGAAAACTAACACATGAACACAACTATTATTGTTGGGACATTTAAAAGGTGGGAGGTATTTTAA